TTATAATTTTAATATATATAAGAGAAAAGAAAACAATCAATATGTATTGATATTAAAAATATTAAGATATTCAATCAAAACCATTAAATGTATGTAAGGTATGATGTAAATCTTAATTTTATTAAATTTATTATATAAGTATTATTAAACATTTTAATATTTTTAATGATAAAATATATATATTTTTTACGAATAAATATGAAAATATCTGCAATGTACATTTCTTTTTGAAGTAAACCAATAAGGCAATAACCGCCCACCAGAAAGCTACTGCATGTTAATATTAGCAGCGAAGAGCAAACAGTAGAAGCTCTGGTCCCCTTACTTCCATCATCGCTGTTAAATTCAGAAACGTTTTGGAAATATCCAACGAAACCTGACCCACGAAATGGACGTTAGTTACCGACTGCACAAACTCCAAAAATCACGGGCTTGAAAGTTCGTTCTCTTCTTCTTCTCATCAGAAGGAATGAATGAAAGGTTCCTTTTCCAAAAGCAATTGTGTAGTCGGAAACGTCCATTTGATGGGTCAGGATTCGTTGGATATATTTTCGACTGGCCACATAAGCTTTTGTTTCTTTCCTGCATTTCCTGATAAGATGCAATGATCTGTGGGGTATAAATGGGGTCCTCTACTTTCCAATTATGTAGCAGGTCCAGAGTGGTATTTTTTGCGAGATTCGTTCTGGGATTTTTTTGGGGTACTGGTGGTTGGTTCTGAGCAAGAAAGTTTGAGGGTGATTCTTTTCTGGGTCATTTTTGAGTGATTTTGGAAGAGTTTGGAAATGGGGTTGCTCAGTACTATAATGGGTGTTTTCGGGTTTGGAATTGGAGCTCCAGTTGGGCTTGTGATTGGATACTACATGTTCATCTACTTCCTGCCAACACATGTTGAGGTCCGTTTCTTTGTATCCACATTCCTCTCTTCTGTTTCCCCGTACAATTCTTACTGTATATTGTTCTCTTCTTGTGCTTTATGCTCAATTATGTTATTCTTGGAATCTTGCTTTTCTTTTGTCTGCCTCGTTATTTGCTCGTTTTACGATTGGTGTTTATTATTCTGTTCATTTGTAAGCTTGTTGCTTGGAACCATTGACTGTGGGAAAATGCGGAAATTATTTTGAGCTCAGAAATAGATTTTCTACAGTTTATGGAATTGTTTATTGCCAGTTCAGCTGCTTTTTAGGTAAAAGGTGAATTTATTTACCCTGAAAAACTAACCTTACAAAGCAGCACTATTTTTTAGGCTGCTACATTGCCAATTCAGCCGTTGTTATAGCCAATTTGAGTCAATGAATTCTGTTTCCGTTTCCACTTAATTCAGCTGTTGTCTTGTCTGCTTCTGTCTTCATGGGATGAAACCTCTTAAGCCTTTATGATACATTTTTTTGAACATTAATCGAGGCCTAAAAAAAATTAAATTCTGAGAAGATTAAGATTTTTTTTTTTTTTTTTTGGAGCGTTGAGAAAAGGATTGATTGTTGTCTGGTTGTGCTTAAGCAATTCTTGTCGAGAAATTGTGTTAGGATGAATATAAACCAAGTGGTGATTGTTGATACAAGGTGGAATTGGTTGGAAGAGGGAGATACCAGTTCTGTGACTTATGGGAAGTAATACTGGATGGATTTTAGGTTCAAATTCCTTCATCCAGTATGTGTGAGTGGATTATAAGGAGAGTGGCACAGGGCCACAGAGTTGCTCACTAAGCATCTCTTGTTGTGATAGAAAGGCCATATTATGCAAAATAGTGAAGAGACAAAGGTTGCTGAAGTTCTGGTACTCTATTTTTTTTCTCTAGCATTAAGATATATGCGTTTGTTCGGAAATGAATGAGAACTTTACTACCAAATTTCAATCTTGCTAGACAGACTTAGAGCATATCATGGTTAATTCTCTTGAGCTTTGTCCAGGATCCTGAAATTCGTCCTTTGGCTGAGCAAGACTCACAAACCTTGCAGCGCATGCTTCCAGAGATACCTTTGTGGGTGAAAAATCCAGATTTTGACCGAGTATGTTTCTTGTTACATTTTCCTTTTTCCTTTCTTTTAACATTTCCATATCTCAAAGTTGAGCAAGTTGTGACAAGCTTCTTTTACTTTTGTTGCTGTGAAGGTTGACTGGCTCAACCAATTCATTGGTTATATGTGGCCTTACCTGGATAAGGCAAGCTTACTGAAAATGACGTTTGACCTTCTATCCTTGCCTTCTTGTTATTTGTTTGTCAATTCTCTATTGAAGATTTAATGTGTAGCATTGACCTTCCAAATTTGCCAGGCAATTTCCACAACCGCTCGGAAAATAGCAAAACCGATTATTGCCGAGCAAATTCCGAAGTATAAAATTCAGTCAGTTGAATTTGAAACACTTACCTTGGGTTCCCTGCCGCCAACTTTTCAAGGTCCACTAATTCTTTCTCTCAAACACACAGGAGAAAATGAATAAAATTATTTCAGTTCTCATTCTTAGTTTCTTTATGTTCCAGGAATGAAAGTTTATACCACTGACGATAATGAAATTATTATGGAACCTTCATTTAAGTGGGCTGGAAATCCTAACATCACTGTTGCAGTAAAAGCATTTGGGTTGAAAGCCACTGTTCAGGTATTCGTCGGAATAGCTCTGGATTAAGAGAAAGAAAGATGCAGAAAAAATTCACAGAACTTAATCACATGCAAGCCTGCATTTGCTTGTTGATGGACGAATTGTACATACAGACCTGTTTGGTCATTGGTGTGGACATACATTTTATAAAGAAAAGTAGAGATATAGGAGTTATCACTGGCTTTGGCTTTCTATTAGACAGCATTGATTTCTTTTATGCAATTTTAGGTTGTTGATTTGCAAGTATTTGCTTGTCCACGAATCACCCTGAAGCCTTTGGTTCCAACCTTTCCTTGTTTTGCTAAGATATGTGTTTCACTCATGGAGAAGGTATGTACTATTTTTTAAACAATATGGTAGTCAATCATTGATTGCTTGCTATTTCAATTTTCAACCATAACTAAAGTTCCAATATCATCTATCTTATAGGGAACACCTCCAGTTGGTAGATGGTTGTAGTATGTTATATTTCTTGTAGGATCCTTTGTTGCCTCTTTCTTTATCCTTATTTTTAAAATATTCAATTTTGATTGTGCAGCCACATGTTGACTTTGGACTGAAGCTGCTAGGGGCAGATGCAATGGCCATCCCTGGCTTATACAGGTTTGTCCAGGTAATACTTATATTGTTTCCTCTTCTCAGGTGTCAAGTACCTATGGCTGGTAGGGTTAAATTTACATTTTTGCTTAATGGGTATGCTTTTTTTTACAGGAGCTCATAAAGGAGCAAGTAGCAAATATGTACCTGTGGCCTAAAGCTCTAGAAGTACAAATAATGGACCCTTCAAAGTAAGCTTGCATTTTATAACTTTTTCCCATCCCCAAACTTACAACATCAAGCCTTCTTTTTCTTTCTGTGCTAATTGATCCTCAAAATTGCAGAGCCATGAAAAAACCTGTTGGAATTCTCAATGTTAAAGTTCTTAGAGCAATGAAGCTTAAAAAGAAAGATCTCATTGGGTCCTCGGACCCTTATATTAAATTAAGGCTCACAGAGGATAAGATGGCTACAACAAGGAAAACTACTGTGAAACACAACAACTTGAACCCCGAATGGAATGAGGAAATTAGTTTGGTGGTTAAAGACCCAGAGGCTCAGGTCTTGGAGCTTAACATGTATGACTGGGAACAGGTACGGTTCTTTGTGTTTTTATTTTTTCCTGATTAATCATCAGTTCTGAGGTCTGTCACCTGTTGAAAATCCTGTATGATTCTATGCAACATAGCCACGCTTGGTAGTGAGGTCGCAAATCACAATGCTGTTCTGCCTTGTCAATAAGTTTACTTTCTTAGTTGTTTCTCTGGTTTCTAAGACACCCAAATCCAACCTAGTAGAATCGTCTGTGTGCATGTGTGTCTGTGCACCTCCTTTTCTATTTGATTTATGAAGCTGTAAACTTCGGCTTAGGTTGGCAACCATGACAAGATGGGCATGAACGTAATTCCCCTGAAAGATCTTGTGCCTGACGAGCCAAAAGTTTTGACTCTTGATCTGTTGAAAAATATGGATCCAAATGATGCACAAAATGAGAAGTCACGTGGGCAAATGGTTGTGGAAGTTGCATACAAGCCTTTCGCAGATGATGAGATACCAGCTGATATCGAAGGTTCAAATATGGTAGAGAAAGTTCCTGAAGGAACACCTGCTGGTGGAGGTTTGCTTGTAGTAATAGTCCATGAAGCTGAGGATGTTGAAGGAAAGCACCACACAAATCCACATGTGAGACTCCTATTCAGAGGGGAGGATAGGAAAACAAAGGTATGCCATAAAACCACCTGTGAACTGTCTATTATTTGAAAGAGCTTAGTAATAGAACCCAGGTATCATAGAGTGGGCGGAGGGTGGTGTCCCCTTCCCCAATGTCTCCAATTCCTCTAGTACAAAAATGAAAAAAAGGGAGAGAGATCTTACCAGTCATGCAAAAATAAGTCATCTTAGCCAATAAATTGTTGCATCCTCAAATTCATATTATTGTCTACAGTCTAGGCCATGTCAAGAGACATGATGATCTAAACATATTGGAATATCTGAATTCTTTAGCAGGAATGATCTTTCATTTTCTTCTTAATGGCTGTCATATATTTCAATTCTGTATAAACAATTGATGATCATTAATCACATTTGGCAACAGCGTGTAAAGAAAAACAGAGATCCGAGATGGGAAGAGGACTTCCAATTCGTGCTGGATGAACCACCGATCAATGATAAACTTCATGTTGAAGTAATCAGTACTTCCTCAAAGTTGGGGCTACTGCATCCCAAGGTATGCATTGCTGCATTTTATATTACGGTAAACAGCTTCCAATATACATCTTTCCACATATGTAAACCAAATAATTGTTCTTATGGATTTTTTTTTTTTTCCAACAGGAAACTCTAGGTTATGTTGTTATTAGCCTGGCTGATGCAATAAACAACAAAAGAATCAACGAAAAGTACCATCTTATTGACTCAAAGAATGGCAAGATACAAATTGAGCTGCTATGGAGAGCAGCATCTTAAAGCTGGGATGTGCTCTGTTGATAGCAAACCATGGGAGTTCCATACTTTCTAATGTTTGTGTTTGTGACTCAAAATTTTAGGAGGCCTGTAAACATTTTTCCCAGCAAACTCAGCTCTGTAGATTTTTTTATTTCCACTCCTCACCCCCTTATATGGGCCGACCTGCAGACCTGGTCCGTTCTTAATAGTCCAGGCCTTCTATGACATGCAAAATGAGGAAAGGTCCATGGGCTGTATAAGGCCCAAATCAACAAAGTTGAAAATTTCATTTCATAATTAGGCTGAAAATGAGGCGGGCTTAATGGCCCATTATCTCTTTTTGTCCCTCTTGTCATTTCCGTGTCTTTTCACTACTTTACTTTGAATTTTTGACCTCCGCCAATTTAAAACTTCCGCCATTTTCATTTCCTCACTCCCTCCGGCTCCGTGGTGACAGAAAGTAGGGGAAAAGAAATGGACAACGTTCTTAGTCCTCCACCGTGCCCGAACACAGTGACGGTTCGCCGGAATCCTCACAGGAAGGCTAGGCCAACGCCATCAACGACGAAGCCTCCTTCGGATACCTCCTCCGCTTCGTCCTGTAATTTGCCCCAAATTCCCTTTCCTATTCAGGACATCCTCTCCATTGAAATTCCACAATCTGAAACCACCACCATCTCTGATTCACAACCACCTTCTTTCTCGTCTGATGATTCTGAATCGGAGAATCTAAAAGTTTACCTTAGAATTCGGCCTCTAGTACCTCCGACTGCGAGAGGTTCCACCAAATTTCCTGCAGACCAAAGCACGCGGTCCAGAGCAAAAAACGTGTGGCCTCAAAATCCAGCGAAGAAAAACACTGTAAAAGAGAAGAATCCGACGAAGAAAGCTTATGAGAGTTGCATAAAGGTCGGCGATGATTCATGCTCGGTCACATTATCTCCGCCCGCAGCTTTGCAAGATTCTAAACGGAGCAAATCTGAGGTTTATGAGGGGTTTTCTCATGTATTTTCTGCTGATTCAACTCAGGTATACCTCTCAATTTCTTAAACTTCGTATCCAATTGACCTTTTAAAATGTTTATTATGATGAATTACATTCATTAAATGTGTTTGTAGATTGAAGTGTACGAGAGGATGGTGAACCCCTTGGTGGAGGGTTTTCTGAAGGGTAAAAGCCTAATGCTAGCAGCATTGGGGTCAACAGGCTCTGGTAAAACTCATACCATGTTTGGTAGTCCAAGGGAGCGTGGTATGGTTCCACTGGCGCTCCAGCGAATTTTCAAGCCAATCAAGGGGTGTGGCTCAGAGTCCTCGAGGTGATTCAGGATCATTTAATTCTAAATTCTCCTTTTGTTTGGAAAATTGAAGGCGTTACTTGTGACTTTTTCCGGGTCTTGGATCTTACTTGTGATTGTTCAATGTGCAATACTTCTGTCTGTTTTTCTTAATAACTAAACTTGTTAGTAAGCTTAACAATAGCAAAACGAAAAAGTAGGATGAGTGCCTTATTGTTAAATTTGAATGTTTACTAAACTCTATATGGAGATTGGAATTGTAGTGCAATTCTCTGCTATACTCAAGAAAGCGATGTTTTGTGACTTTTGTCCAGGATATGATGTTTGACAATGAATTAGGTTATTTTCTTGCCAGGAAATTTTTCTTGTCAGTTTTTGAAGTATATGCTGATGGGAAAGCTGAGAGGATATGTGATTTGTGCCCAGATGGAACTGATTTGCGTGTGCAGCAGTCACCTATTAAAGGGATTCAAGAGGTTGGTAGTTACTTATGCTTGATTCTATGTCACATTGTTTACTGTCCCTATTTGTACCCATCATCCATACTGATTATTGCTTTGGTTTCCTTGATTTTGTCAACAGGTACTCATCCATGATGCTGCAGAAGCAGAATCGTTGATAGGCCGTGCAATGCTGAAACGCTCCACAGCTGCAACAAATGCAAACAGCCAGTCAAGGTGAAATGTTGCATTAATCATTTTGGTCCACAGCAATGTAGTTCTTACTTCTTCTTCTTCTTTTTTTTTTTTTTGACATGTTGCAGCCGTTCACAGTGCATCATCAACATCAGCAGTGTGGCTGAAAAAGAAAAAGATGTTCAATCAAATTGTGCTGTTTTAACCTTCGTTGACCTTGCTGGAGCTGAAAGAGAAAAAAGAACTGGAAACCAGGTGAGATGTGGTTCTTGTGTAACTTTTAACTGAGGTCATAGTTTCTTCTGTGGAAATTTATGAAAATTTGTGAAAGGTGTAGTAGTTCTGGATTTGAAATGCACCATAGGCTTGTATTTGTAGCATAATGACACCTTTCTATTCTGTGCTGGGTTTTACTAATTTATTGTTAGAAATACTTGTAGTTGAAAACTCCTTTAAGCATATTAAGATAATGCTATTTTGGAACTCAAATTAGTGCTTACATTTAAGTTAGGCATGAAATTTCTAGGGAGATTCGAACTGTATCAATTGTATAATTATTTAAACTTTAGGAAATGTTTGGAAAGGGATTCTATTTATTTTGATTTTTTTTTTTTTTCACAATAAGCAGTAAGCAGTTTTTTTGTACAATTTAATATGTTTCATTTGAAAAAGACAAAATAGCTTAAGATAAATTGTGGTAACTATAACCAAGGTTTTAATTAGACACTAGAGAGATTACAGTTACAAGTGCTCACAATCTGGTTCATTCAAGTTGTTCTCGTGCGTACAAATTTGTTGATTTAGTTGATTTTAAATTATATTTCATCATCTTGCAGGGGGCACGATTGCTTGAAAGTAATTTTATCAACAACACATCATTGGTGTTTGGTTTGTGCCTACGAGTACGTGTCCTTGTTTCTTGGATTTCCTCCATACCCTCACAGTTCTCTTCTTTATTAGTACCATTTTTTCTTTCTTTTTTGATTTTTAAGTTTCTTTTGCTGTTCATTTCCTTCTCATTTGCATATCCTGAAATGTTCTCTCTTTACCACTCTCTCTGTACATTTAAATAGATATATATATATATATATATTACCACTCTCTCTGTACATTTAAATAGATATATATATATATGTATATATATATATTTTTTAATTGGCTTTTACAGTCATTGTTAGAACACCAAAAGAATCCCAAGAAGCCACTGCAGAAGCACTTCCAAAACTCTTTGGTAATCTATCTTTTATTGATTTTGTTACTGAAGTCTTGAATAGATTTTTTTTTTTTTTTTTGTCCTTTCTGTTTTGGAGTCATTGATATGATTTCTTGCCTGCGTGATTTCATCTTCACATAGTTGACAAGGCACCTGCGAGATTACTTAGAAGGCAAGAAGCGGATGACACTGGTATGAGGTTCTTTGATTCGGCACTTTTTAGGTGAACAATGCTAGTAATCCTCTCTTTTTTACTCTTTTCCCTATCCGAGGTGGGGAACACTTGAGCTATTTTCAATCTCTTTGTAAATTGTAATCATAAATTATTGTGTAAGAAGTTTGGATTTCATTTATTCAAGATTCTGCAATCTTCACTTGTTCAAATTCTTTTGTTCTGTTTGTAGATTTTGACAGTAAAACCTGGAGAAGAAGACTACCTTGATACATCATACTTGCTAAGACAAGCTTCACCTTACATGAAGATCAAGTATGGCCTTTTCTCTTTTCCTCCATTTCCTTCTATTTTTAAAATTTTCTATTAACAGGATGTGGTCTATTCATAATTTTTTTCTAGGTTTGCCAAGGTAGAGGACGAATCCAGTTTGCATTGTAATAAGAGGCATTTCCAAACATTGTCTCGACCTGAGCAGCCCAAACGAATGAAAGTCAGCAGAACTGATGCTTGCAAGGTATAATTTTCCACTTTTAGGTTTAACACTACTTGTATGCTAAAAGTTGCAATCAGCCTTGCCTTGCCATCATTTATTATATTTTTAAGTTTGTTTTCAGAAAGAAGAAAAGGATGTTGGAGATGAAAACCAGCATTGCAAGGAAGGTTGAGTTGACATTCTAACTTCAGCGATTATACAAATTGCTCTTTATGTGCATTCATTCAGTCCTTTATCATGCTTTCTTCAGGACATGTTTATTCTTGATTATTGCATTGCAGATGCCCCTCAGAGGAGAAACTATCAGATCATGCAAAATTTTGCCAAAGCTCTATTGAATGTCTTGAAGGAATACAAAGAAAAGCTGAAGGTAATTATTAAGGTTTTCCTGGTTTGCTTAATCTGGCCATCATGATCGTAACTGATTATTTTTTTATGGTCAGCAGTAATGCTCTGGTAGCTCTGCTATGGCCACTAACATAATTTTGGTGAAAATATTAAGTATTAACCATTAACCCTTGTTATAATCAGGTGGCAGAGACGGAAATCCTTAATCTCAGAGGAAACCTTAGCTATGAGAAGACTAGATCTCTTGGGCTGGAGAAAGAGCTGGACAATTTGAAGTCCTGCTGTACTTGTTCAAAGGAAGAACAGATATCTTACAGTGTTGATGAGGTAAGCAAATAAGAAATGATGAATAAAGAGTTGATTATGGTCATTGTAGTCTTTCAGAAGATTTTGCATCTTGTTAGACATAGAGCTCTCCTGCCCCATGAACTTTCAGTGTTTATGTAATCATTACCAAAGAAAATGATATCTTGAAGTTTTTGTTTAGAGTTAGACAAATGTGGATGTGCATTCCCCCAATTCCATGGGAGTTGAGTGCTCTAGCACTCCTAGAATCTATGAGTTGACTTCAGGAGAGGATCAAATACTTTCTCAGATTTGTAGACTGCTGCCACTTTTTGTTGAATAACACACTATGGTCTTTCTCTTGTGAGTTTCCTTCTGTTTCTCAAGCATTACTACTTATGGTACCATGCAGTAGTGCCCTGGCTATTTCTTATACTGCTACTCTTGGAGTTCACAACACTACCATGAGGGACCTCTGTTTTGATTATGAGTCTATACTCTATCCCAACTCCATCTATCAAATGAAATACTTATCAAATTGCCCAATCCTTGTTCCTTGTGGAAATTCCCAGAGTCAGAAGAACATGAATGTGGAGATCAAGGGGTGTAATTTTACATGTTGCTTCTTTCCACAAGGAACATACTTTGGGTTTGAATTTCATGGTACCAAGTGAATCATTTTCTATAAACTTGGGTGGGCTTGAGTATCTTAATGACAAGTTGAGTATCTTAATGACAAGTTGAATTAAAGCCATAGTAACTGACATTCTATATTTGTACCTGCGATCATCTCTTAAGAAAATGCACTTGATGGTAGACAAATTATCTTTTCCATCTCTTTAATGATTGCCTTTAATGGATTACTCTTCTCCAGGACAATAACCCTAGATATTCCAAGGCTGAGGTTGGTAATACTTCAAGCAGTAGTGCTGAAAATCTTGACTGCCCCAAGGTATAGTATGGCTCTTTAACAGTTTCATTGCTCAGGATTGTCAGACTAATAAAACTTATTCATGATATCTTGCATGTACTTAAGTATTTTCAGAATGAGTTAGACATAGCTGTTGTAGAGTATACAAACCAGAAGCATGAAAGCTTCCCTGTGAATGGAAATATCAACACGTTTTCAGAGCAGTCAGATTGTGTGGTTGTTGAGGATGATAAACTTAATACAGAAGCAACAGGTTTGATTTAAAAGCCCTTGTTCTGCGTTTTATTATATCGTCTGTTCTATAATTGAGAAAAATCTAGAATCTTGCTTTCAAACATCTCTAAGCAGCTCATGCCCAATTGTCCTTGAAAGTGGTGAATCAGGAATCACTAGCCAGCATACCTTGAATAGAAATTCATATAATTTTGGAAATCAAAATCAAGATCTATGTGTCAATTTGCACAAAATAATAATAATAAGAGGCAGGAAAAAGTTAATGTACGACGTATCATGAGATTTTCCAGGCAGAGGATCTTTACCAGCTGGAATTCAATCTTTACAATTTTTTCTTTAACTCTACAATGCAGTGTGCATCTTTGCAGTGTAATCTGGGGTTTCAACTTGACACCTGTTACAAGGGTGTTATTGTTAATAATCAAGTTATAAGCCTCTCATCATTTGATATAATTGTTATTTTACAATGTGAAAAAAATCCAAGGCCTGTTATTACTAGTTGCCATTGGTTTTGCATTTATTTATTTTTTCCAGTGTTATTATTGATGTTTCATTACATCTTTCTAGCCCGATTGTATAATATTAACAAATTTAATGCTTTCAGAGATCGGAGTCAGCTCATCTGGTGATGACAACAGTTCGTCTATAGATCAGGTTCAACAACTTAATGAGAATGATGAGGTCGGGAAATCTTTTATCTTCGTTTCTTTTTTTCTTTTGGGGGTTCTTATTTATAAATATTCCATCTTAGAAAACAAGTTAAGGAGATTGTTTTTCTAGCAACTCTTACGCGATTCTATCACTACAGTTGTGTCGGCTTTTAATGGATTTCTTTTCTCCAGGACAATAAGTCTACCTATTCCAAGGATGAGGTTGATAATACATCAAGCATTAGTGCCGAAAATCTTGACTGCCACAGTAATCAGGTGTAGTGTGGCTCGTAACAGTTTCTTTGATCAGGATGGTTAGACTATAATAAAACTTATTCAAAATATCTTGCATGTATTTAATCATTTTCAGAATGAGCTAGACATAGCTGTTGTAGAGTATACAAATCAGAAGCATGGAAGCTTTCCTGTGAATGGAAATGTCAATGAGGTCTCAGAAGAGTCTGATTGTGTGGTTGAGGATGGTAATCCTAAGACAGAAGCAACAGGTTTGATTTTAAAGCCCTTGCTTTGCTCTTTATTATATCATCTGTTCTGTAATTGAGAAAAATCTAGAATCTTGCTTTCAAACATCTCTAAGCAGCTTAAGCCCAATTATCCTTGAAGGTGGAGAATTAGGAATCATGACAGCCAGCATACGTTGCATAGAAATTCATATATTTTCAAAAATCAAAATCAAGGTCTATGTGTCTATTTGCACAGAACAACAACAACAATAATAATAATACGAGACAGGAAAATGTTAATGTATCATGAGATTCTCGGTCAGAGGATCTTGACCAGCTAGAATTCAGTCTCTACAATTTTTTTCTTGAACTATACAATGCAGTGTGTATCTTTGCAGAGTAATCTAGGGTTTCAAACTCAATACCAGTCATGGGGATAAAAAATTTAAAACACACACACACACACACACAACATCAGTCACAAGGGAGTTGATAATCCTAGCTATAACCTTGTTAGCATTTGATATAATTGTGATTTTAGAATGTGAAGGAAATTCAAGGCCTTTAATTAGTAGTTGCCATTGTTTTGGATTTTTTTTTTCCCAATGTTTTATTATTGATGTTTCATTACATCTTTCTACCCCGATTGTGTAATATTAACAAATTTAATGCTTTCAGAGATTGGAATCAGCTCATCCGGTGATGACAACAGTTTGTCTATTGATCTGGTTCAGCAACTTAATGAGAATGATGAGGTCAGGAAATCTTTGATAGTTGTTTCTTTTTTTGTGCTTATTATGAGTATTCTTAGAAAACACGTTAAAGAGCTTGTTTTTCTACTTTCTAGTTACCCCTACACAGAACTGAGCTTCTTTTTGATTTGTGCAAATATTTTGTGCCACTCAAAGTACATGTTCTGTTGATAAGCTGAATCCCTGTTAGATAATCAACCATATTAAAGTAGTTTCCTGCCTATGGTTTATTTTAATCCAAGTGAAAACAAGGCTACAATGACTAAAAATCTTATATCAAGTTAATGCTGAGGCATTAAGTCACAGAGCACTTGTAACCTGGTCGTTGATGGCCAAAGAAAACAAAACCCTTGTCTTTCAGACATACACAGAGATGCAAAAGAAACCGAAAATTAGTGGGATGTAGACTGAGTTGCAGGACTCAAACACATGTTCCCTTTTCTTTTAACACTAGTTTCACTCTGACTTTATATGTTTTCTTCTAGGACGCAAAAGATTTGTCGGCATCACTGAAGGAATTAATGGGTACTCAAGAATGTGACACTGCCAATGTGCCCCACTCTGCAACAATACCGATTACCACCTGCAAGCCTCCAGACATTGAGAAACCGAAAAGGTCTGTAGGAATCCTGGGTTTGATGATGAATGTGGCTCGTTTCCTCTTTATATCTCTTCATCCGATCGTACTTGTCATTGAAGTTCGCTCAATTTTCTGCCTGCGTATTGAAAATTGTCAGGAGGCTTTTGCCTGCTTCATCGGTATTACTTAGGAATGTCAGCACGTTAGATGTGGATGATGATGTGGCTACTCAACAGAAACCAAAGGTTAGTGTATAATTATTCAAAAATCGTGATGATTCATTCATGCTTTTGATTGAGAAGGCCACAGGCCTGCATGGTATCAATTGAGGGAAAATTAGAAATGAGGAAGTTAACGCCATTCTTTTTGGTTTTCAAAACAATTACAGGGGAACAGAGGTGGAAAGAAATCTGCTGTGGAGGAAAGACAAAGAACTCAAGGAAGCATCTCCCTACTGCGTCTTCTTCAAAGAAATCCTCATCTATAATTCTCTGTACAACTTGCTTCTTGTATAGGAATTCAATTTACTTCATCTTTTCCTTCCAAACAATATAATTACGTATTTAAAATGGTTACATTGTATTTTGCACAATATTAATTAGAGTGGGGTGGCTTTTGCTTCATATCAAGGTCATTAATATTTTGTAATTTAATGTAATATAAATTACAAAATATTTTTTTGATAAAGTTAATTAGTTATAGGAGCAAAAATACAAATAAGAATGTTTTTTATTTAAAAATATAAATTGTCAATGAATAAAATAATAAAATTTTTATTTTTTTATTTAAAAATATTGATTTTAAATTTTTTATTTAAGTATTAATTGAATGATTGATTAAATAATTTTTAAATAAAAAAACATAAAATTAGTATTTTTAAATAAAAAATTAAAATTTTTATTTTTATCTTGGTCCGATTCTACGCTCGTATTTGCTTCTTCTCAATGTTTGGGCTTCAATTCAAATTATTCATTCCGTGTGTACCAAACAAAAATGGAAAATCAAAAACATAAAGGAATAAAAAATAGCTGCTGTGGTGATTCCTCGTAGAGAACATTTGGTAGACTGCAGTGATATATTTCAATTCAAGTTTATAATAAGAGTAATAACAGGATGAAAATTTGAGGTGAAAAATTATAATTAATAATATGATATAAATTATATTATTGAATTAATTAATATATAATATTATAGATTTTAAAAAATTATTAATTTATTTTTTAATATTTTAAATAATATAATTTACATTATATTATTAATCTTAATTTTTAATTTTTAATTTTTAATTTTACTCTCATTTATCCTTACTCTTACGAACAATACAGCTTCAGCAGGCGGAGTATTAGGATAACTATGTTGAAGAAGTCAATCGTTCCAAGCTACAATTGACCACATTTCTCTCTCTCTCTCTCTCTCTCTCTCTCTCTTTTTTTTTTTTTCTCAATAGAAACTTCCAAATTTTTTCTTCCTAGTGATGGGCCAATTTTTTTCTTCTCTTAAAAGTGGGCAATTAATTCTTCTTAATTTTTCTTGGGGATTTGGATCCGAGTTGGGTCCATCCAACTCGGGACCAAAAAGACCCATATGAGATTAAACCAAGGAAATGTTCTTTTCAACCTTTAAAAATTTGAACATTGGCCACAAGTATAAGAGACGTGTCTTGCGCTTAAATAAGCGTACTATTTAGTAGTTATTATATGAGAAATTAATACCTCAATTAGTTGGGTTGTACTGTTGTTATAGGTTTTTTTTTTTTTTCTATCTCAAACATATAAAAAAAACTAAAATTACTAAAAATATATATAAAATATTATTTAAATTAATTAATCATTATAAATTTGCATATAAAATTAATATACTATAAAAAAAAATTATTGTGTTTAGCACTCTCAAGGTAAAATGATTTCATAATGCCAAGAAAATAATAAGAACATCAATTGTTAGATTCAGGTCGGACCATAAAGGAGCTTGGGCCCACGATAAGCCAGGGCTTTACGGAATATGACACCCAGTGGGCTTGGGTCCACTAATCAGGGCCTCCTAGTCCGCATATTGTTAGGATGTGCGCAACACATGGAATCCCACACCGGTAGGTAAACTCGCCATTGTCCACGATAAGCTCGCTGCTTCTTTCATTTTCAACTTCCGTATTTTCAAAATAATTTTTTTAAAAAATAAAATAAAATAAAATAAAATCCCATGCTTTAAAGCATACCGGAATTGACAGTCTTAGGTGCAACTCCTGTCTTTTTTAATACCGCGGAACCCCAAATCCACGCCAGTAGCGACAGATTCTTTTTTTTTTTTTTTTATTTAATATAAGGGTAAATTATTTTTTAAAATTATAAATGGAGATAAATTTTTTATTTTTTAACTTATGATATTAATTTTTTATTAAAAATTGTTATGTAATAAATAAAATTATGGTATCACATGCTAAAAAATAAATAATTTATTTAAATTAAAATTTTTTTTAAATAATTTATCTTTATATTTTTTTAAAATATAAATTTATTGTTACCCCTGTTTGTAGGGTGGATTTGAGATTTTACCTTTTCATTATTCCCTTCCGTTACGGGTTGACCTGAAAGCGGTGTCGTAAACCGACCCGGCCCGACCTGAAGTCACTTGCTTTCCGCACGCCGCGCACGTGCCATTGCCCAACAATGAAGAATGAACTAAAACTCACCAGAAAATTGACAAAATAAAAATCAAAATTCGAGGAAATTAAAAAAAAAAAAAAAAAGAAGAAGAACCGGAACTCTCTGTGTCTCTGAAACAGCCATCACAAAAGACACAGTGTGAGAAGACGAAGAAATTCAGTCTCTGTACGGAGGTGAAGCTCGGAAATACGAACGGGAGCGAATTTGAGGAGAGGGAAAGGTATTGTGGGGAGATGGAGGGGATGGGAGGAGCGGAGGTGCTTTCTCTGTGTCGGAGCTGAGGTGAGCTGAGGAACAGCTAGGGTTTCTGTTTGAAGCCATTGATGAAGGTGAAGTCCGTTCACGCTTGCAATTGTGTTGATTTCTTGCTTCTTCTTCTTTTTTTTTTTTAATGATTTAGTTTCCATTTTAGGATCAAAGTTATTCAAACCAGCAATCTCTAGCATTAATTGTGATAATTTTTATTTAATTCCATATCTTCTTGAATGGATACTACAGCTTAATACATTAGCTGTACAGCTAGGGTTTTATTTTTCCTTATCTGGTCAGTTTTAAATTTTAGGGTTATAGATCTTCTGTGGCAGTGGTAGATTAGTTTTGCGGAGAACTTTGAGTAAGAATTCATTTGGGCGTCGATTTTTGTCTAATTTCTAAATGGAGCTTTTGTTCTGCTATTGTTTTTGTTCTTGTTTTAATTTTAATTTTTTTTTTTTGATATTTTTCCCATTTCAGGAATGAAATTCGATTGATTTGGAAATTTCAGTTCGGAAGTCTTTGATCGTTATTGTATAATTGCTACTCGGACAGAAACAGCAGTATTGTTTCTGGTAATTCAGCCATCGTTAAGAGCTGGTTTCTGTTATATTCTTTAATTTGATCTAGTTATTCCTGTCATCATTTAATTGAATCTCTCTTGATCAGTAATCTATATATATAATCGATCCACATGATCGATTCGTTTTAGGATGATATTCATTGTTCGTGGGGGTTTCGGTGTATATCTTTGTTTCTTTAGGTCCTTTTTGCCAATTCAGTGCCAGAGACATGGTTTTATCAGTTTATGCTATATCCAGTCAACTCCTTTACTTTCAAAAAATGTAGCGTTGTCAACTTATTTTGCTTGAACTTGTCTTCTACTGTATAGGGAACCACGAACATGAAATGTTGTTGGATTCGTTATTTGCAATATTTGTGTAGCTGTTTGTTCATTAGGTGCACCATACAGACTTTTTTGGTTTTTTGTCTCAAGTGTCATATCAGATTTAGAAGTGAAACACTGCTCTTATTGTCCAATGGTGCTTTATCGTATTAGGCTGGAGCTGCATATTTAGCTATTCTAGTTTGTTCTGTTCTACAGGTTTTCTTTCAAGTATTGATGTGAAACATAGCAGTTTTGCACAATTCTAGATGGAAGACAAATTCTCTGCACGACTCTGGGACATATCATATGCTTGGAGGTGTTGTTTCTAAGTCACTATGACGCTTGAAGATTTCTTTACCCTGACTGAGATGAAGGATGGGCTTACTGCCCCTTCTCGGGTTGAGGAGCTAGTAACTGCGATGAAGAGTGAGAAAGATTCTGTTGTGAAGAATGTAAGTGATGCAACCAGGCAGTGGACTGCTGTTGCAAGCACGATTGCTGCAACAGACAATAAAGATTGTCTCGATCTTTTTGTTCAGTTAGATGGACTCTGGTTTATTGATCGATGGCTCAGGGATGCTCAAGAGTTTGGTCACGATGCAGGTGAAAGCTTTATCGAGGAATCAATTACTGCATTGCTACGAGCTCTTGAAAAGTTGAATATAGACAATGAGAGGTCCATTTCTTCAGGTATTTGCATAACTGTCAAGAAACTTCTTGATCAGAACAGCTCCCGGGTTCAGGATAGAGCAAGAGTGCTTCTCAGTAGCTGGAATCAACATAGGTTTAGCGATGCTTTTAACAGTAGTGTGGAGCATAGTGGAGCTCTTGTTGATAATGGAAATACAGACAATGTGACATGCACTGGGGAAAGTAGTAGGCCAGATTGTTCTGACACAGATGCTCCTCTTTCCAAAGGAAGTTCTACTGAGGAAACTAATGGATTGGTTGCTGCCAAAGCGGGAAACCTTCCATCAGGAAGCCAAGATGGTCTTCAGCCAGAAAGGTCTAGAGATTCACAAAGTGAAAGTTCTAAAGGTGAGCTCCCATCCCGCATAAGTTCTGACCATACAGCTGGGGAGGACAAATCTCCCAAACCTGTTCAAGAAAATTCTTCTACAGAGGAAAATCTTCCAACAGGAACTGGAGAAGGAACTGCTTCCATTGAGACTTGCGGTTATGTAGTTTCAAAGCAAGAAAATGAAGTTTCTGGTCTTCAAAAGTTAGATGAATTATCAAGTAATGAAAAGCAGAAATCAGGTGTGGCAGCTTCTGCCCATATTAAAGTGGAGCATGGAGTTTCTTCTGGAGCTGCTGTTGCAAGAGCTGATGAGATTGTGATAGAAGCCAAGTTGCAAAATAATGCTGATGCCAACAAGAATGACTGTTTGGAAGCTACTGCTTCAGAAGTAAGGACACCTGTATCCAAGCTAGAGAGTGTGATGGATGACATGGAGGTTGATCATGGTACATCTCTTTTCAAGACTAAAGGTCAAGACAAAGAGAGTCCTACTGACAGATTGCAAGGATCATCTGGAAATAACTTTTCAAATGGAAAACCTGAAGATCTAGACACATCTGTTTCCAGGATGGAAGAAACTGGAGTGGCTGATGAAGACGAGGAACATTCTAGTGACGGAGGTAAAATTTTGAGGAGTCTTTCAAATTATTCTAAACAGGAAATGGTTTCCAAAGGAACATCTGACATTGGACTTGAGTATGATGCTTTAGAAGTTGCTCGAAAAGTTGCTCAAGAAGTGGAGAGAGAGGTGGTAGGTTGCCAAGAGCCTTTGCGTTCTTCTGAAAATATTGCTGAAGGTGGAATTAGGATGCCAGACTCACCAGCCTCTATGAGTGGAAAACAAGAGTCAGCCCCCGAGGTTCAACCAAAGGAGGTTTCAGCTGGGCATGATCATTCTGCTGAGATACATACTGGGGAGGGGCGCACTATCAGTTCTGGTAATGTGGGAATTGAACCAGAAAATGCCATGTGTGATGCAGAGTCATCTCAACTGGCTGTAACTCAAGAACCTGAACCTAGTTCTGAGAAAAGCCTATGTGATTTTGATCTGAATCAAGAAGTCTGTTCTGATGATATGGGGCATCCAGTGACTTCCCTCTCTACTCCCATATCTGTTGTATCTGCTTCCAAGGCTGCAGTGGCTTCTGGATTACCTGCAGCTCCTTTGCAATTCGAGGGTTCTCTTGGGTGGAAAGGATCTGCTGCCACCAGTGCCTTTCGTCCAGCATCACCTCGCAGAAATTCTGACGGTGATAAAATGCTGTATTTTGGGGATACAAGTAGCAGCTCAAAACATAGATCAGATTGTCTTGTTATTGATCTGAATGTAGCTGAGGGCGGAGATGATAAAGCCACTGATCTGATGTTGGGGAAAAAAATGACAGCCTCATCTGGCCTCCTCTCTGCTGAATCTTCACAGGAAGCAAGTCCTGGAAGATCAGAAAGGTTCAACTTGGATTTAAATCGCACCAGTGAAGATGGTGATGTGCCACTGTCAGAGTTAAGAGTAGACAAACAGTCCTTTCCCAACAGAAATAGCCATCACAGTCCATCTCCTGCATCTTCTTTGTCTTCTATGCAGCCTTCACTGAAGAACATTGACTTGAATGACAGACCAATTATTCAGATGGATTCTTCAGATCAGGCTTCTTATCATGGTAGGTCTACCCAAAATCTAAATGCATATGGGGGCCCTAAACCAGATGATCCCGTTATTTCTATCATGGGTACGAGAGTGGAAGTCAATAGGAAGGACTTTATTTCTGACATTCCATCCCTGCCCAATGGCAAGGTTCTTGATGCTGCAGCCAATACAAATGTTGCAAGAACTGGAAGCATTGTTGCTTTGGGTCCCACTGTACCTTACTCGCATTCTCCTGTTATGGGCTATAATGGATTGGCAACACCACCAACAATGAACTTTTCTTCAGCTATGTATGGAGCTGGTAGTTCAATCCCTTATATGGTTGATTCAAGAGGAGCCCCTGTTGTGCCTCAAATTGTGAGCTCGACCATTCCTTCTTACTCTCAACCACCATTCATCATGAGCATGAACGGAGCATCCCTGAGTTTAAATGGTGCTGTGTCTTCACGGCCTAATTTTAATCTGAATCCTGATTTTGCAATGGAGGTGGGAAATAGAGATCCTATGGGTCTAAGGCAACCTTTCCTGACTGGTCAAATGAGGTCAATTGAAGATCAAATGAGGGTCAATCCTCAGCCCTCAAGCTCTGGGGTTGGTGAGAAGAGGAAAGAACCTGATGGTGGGTGGGAATCTTACCCATTTAACGACAGACAGCAATTTCCATGGAAATAGTAAGGTTATTCATCTTTGCTCCATCCTCACTTGGTATCAGTTCATAAAACCAATCAAGGGAACTGATGCATGCATTGCCGAAGATACCTTGATAAGAAAGAGCCAATTGGCTTTATTTGAGGGGAGTTCGAACGAAATAAAACTCAGGGAAGCATGAATGTAATATGATTCTTCATGAAATTGATGGCTTGAAGGGTCGAAAGTTAGGATTAATTGTTTTAGTTTTGTCTAATTTTCTCGGTTCTCTTTTTTCTATGTTTCATTTTCATAGAAGGCCATTTCAACCATAGAAGTCTTGGTACATGTAGCTTTAACTTATGTTCCATATATGTGAAAGAAATTTAGAGATTTTCTACATTCTCTTTAGCAGAATAGTTTCGTTTTATGTACTCTTATGTCACTTTCAATTTTCACTTTCAATGCTCTGTTGGCAGCTGGAAAGTGCTGAGCACTACACCCCTTTCTAAACAGCCCAAAAGCCTTTGTACTAGAAAACTTTTCCCTGCTAGACTCAAGGCTGCTAAAATAAATTAAGGTGTTTCTTTTCATATTTCATCCTTGTATACCTATATTTTGGGTTATTGAGATAATTTCTTTTTCGATTTTGTCCCTGTTTATGATAGGTATTTGTGAGCTTTAGAAATGAAAGGACTTTGAATCAAGTTAGAGATTTTAGCTCTCTTTTTTTTTTTGGTTAAGTAGTTAATTATCTAATATAAAAAAATAAATTAATTAATCAATTAAAGGATAGTTAGACTTATTTGATGAATAAAGAAGAAAACCTATTTTTCAAATTTGTACTAATGAACAAGAAGTATCATCGGCTGTCAGTTTTACTTTTTTCTTTTTTTTTTCTCAGAAGGTATTAACTTTCCACCTGCTAGTCATCACACAAATTAGTTTGTAGTACATTTGAATTTTAAGTTTAACTTTAATATTAAACGCATCGGTTATCGTGTATCTATTACAGTACTTAATAATACGAAATAGTACGTAATTTGAACCAGAGAGCATGTACAATGCTGTTCTATTTGTTTTTTTGTTTTTTTTAATAGAACAAAGATCGAGATTTACCTTATTTTACGAGAGTTTAAAAAAAAAAATGTTCTCTGCATGGACAAGTTCATTTTTAATATTTGAATATTTTAAAATAAAAAAATACCAAAAAAATTAGCTAAAAAGTGCTGCAACGCCTGCTGTATGTAATTGTAGCCACACTCTATAACACGCAACATTTCTCTCTTTATTTTTTAAAATTTGAATTTAAAATTTGTTTTATTTGAATATAAAAATTAGTTAAATAAATAAATATTGATATGATATTTATGAAACTTCTAAGTAATGGAGGAGAGGTGTTTTATTAGAGAAGTAAGTATATAATTACAATAATATGACATCAAAATAAATTTTAATTATTTTTTATTGTACATGCTCTTAGCTATAAAATTAGAGTAAAAAAGGTTTAATACTTTTGTTTGTCTCTTTATTATTAAAAGAAAAAATCTCTTTTTGGTCCCTATACCAAAAACTCCCATTTGTAGTCTTTACTGTTTAAAATTTAACTATTTTTTGGTCATTTTATTAAATTTTTTTTCATGTTGCACGTTATTTTAACAAAAACATCTAACATGACACAACATAAAAGTGCCTACAGGAACTTAATAATACCTCTTCCATATCACTCTCCTTGCCTGAAAAAAAAAAAAAAAAACCCTCAAATGATAAGACCCACATTTTAAATTCTCCATTTTTCTCCAGTTCCCTCCTTAGATATCATCTTCCATCTAACATGACACAACATAAAAGTGCCTACAGGAACTTAATAATACCTCTTCCATATCACTCTCCTTGCCTGAAAAAAAAAAAAAAAAACCCTCAAATGATAAGACCCACATTTTAAATTCTCCATTTTTCTCCAGTTCCCTCCTTAGATATCATCTTCCATCTTTCAAAATTCTTGTTTTTTTGTTCATGATCAATCCTTTATATGTGAAATTGATCAAAATATAATTAAGAATTTATAAGAATATTTTCATTGATAAAAATAAAAATTAATTACTAATTAAAATGATTTTTCAATATTGTAAACTCTAACTTCTTTTCTGAAAAAGAGAATGATTTTACTCATTCACTAATTTTAGATTTTCAACTCTTT